TAGGAGACACACCTTCGAAATATTACAACTACATTTTAGCAACTTTTTTTTTTGTATTTTTGTTTATGACCTATTACAGTTATTTGGGGGAAACACCTTTGAATCCCAACAATGAATCTATTTTGTTCATTTATAATGTAACAACGATAAAGAAATTGTTAACTCATCAATCCACATGAAACATTTATGATCCATGCGAAATCCTCATCAGCCAATCAAACTTAACGTAATGAAAACAGTGATAATGAAAGAAGTTACATGAAGTACAATATCATTATACAATAAGTTATAATAGAGAGAGAGAGAGAGGGAAAGGTATACTTGTGAGGAATTCTTAAGAGGCGGTGTTGGGACCTTCCGTCGTCTATTTATCAGGCCGATCACATATTTATTGAATGTATCACCCTTTTACTAGATATCTCTCTTTCCTCTAGGATAAGTTTCTTGATGTAGGAATGGGAGAGTGATGTATCCTCATGTTGTAACGACACAGAAGAGATCACGTGGGAAGTAAACCACACTCCCCTGAGTTTTAGGAAATCAAAGTTCTATTCCTTAAATGGTTACTATTTTCCAGGAGATCTTGGATCCTGACTGAATGTAAATTATAAATACCTTGACATCATATTTGCAAAGGACAATCTAACTCCAACATAGAAAATCACACATAAAGAGCTTCTCACCCCTACGTGATCTAGCTCTCCATCCCATAACAAAACATAAAGTCTCTAATAGTCATGAATCATAAGGGATTGTCACACATTTGTATTTTTTTGCAAGTACAATTGGTGCTCACTGTGGGACCCCTATAAAACCGACATATGCCACCATAATTTCACCCTGTAAAATTACTACCCTTGGGTTCAATACCCTTGATTACCATGGTGAAAAAAATAAAGTATCTATGGACAATGATGAATCTAAAGGAGAGGAAAGTTCCTTAGTTGATATGTGCGTTGCTATGAATAAACTTCATTGCCAAAACAAAACTCTAAAGGATAACGTCCTCCATATCCAACAACATCAACTGGAGTTAGACATGACAGGTGAATTAGATATATTGGACCCTCAACCTATATTGAATGAGATATGGGAGGCGTCTATCACAGAGAACTTTAAGCCACTATCATTGGCTAAGTTCGATGGACGCAATGATCCGTATGAACATGTTTCCTCCATTAACACTCAGTTGTCCATCATTGGGGGCACCTGACTCCTTGAAGTGCAAGCTCCTATCTAGAACCCTTTGAGATGCATATCTCAGGTGTTATATGGGCCTTCACTACTCTCTGTCACCAGCTACCAAGACTTGGTGAAAAACCTAGTCCACTAATTTTCCATAAGTAGGCACAGGAAGATGACTTCCACCAACTTATTCAACAATCACAAGCCCCTTTGAATCTATGAGGGAGTATCTCTCCCCCTTTAACGAAGCATAAATCAAGGTAATCCACCCTAAACAAAAACATATATGTGGGAGCATTACATAATAGGTTCAAGGCGTAACACTTCAATGAATACCTTTCCCATTGGACAAAGGCACTTGTGGATGAAGTTGTGATGTAGGCGGAGTATTAGATCAAGGGAGAGGTAAGAAATGCTGAAAAGTAATCCAGAGATGAAAAATGACGTACTTCCTATGCTGACAACTCACAAAGGGGTCAATACACATCGCGTGTTAGAGACAAGACATCATTCAAGCAAGGTGGAAAACCTATGGAGAGCTTCATGCCTCTAAACACTAGCCAAGAAAATATATGGACAAAGTCTTTCACATGTATAACATTTGTGGTTTTATTGGGAGAGCCAGTGTAGGTAAAGGGTTATGTAACGTTAAAGACTATTTTTAGAGCCATAACGAATGCCAAACAGATTAAGGTAAGGTATGTTTTCATTGAGGCACCTTCCTCATATAACGTGATTATAGGCATGTGGAATTTAATGAAATGAGGGCCACCTTATCCATATTATATTTGTATATGAAGTATCTACTTCTGGATGAGCGAGTTAGGGTTATCCATGGGGATCAGGAGATTGCTTGGAAATTACACATAAATAGTTAGAAATTGAAAAAGGCCATGACCATAGGTGTAAGTTCCGTCAATAAGAAATTATATGCTAAGCCGCCAAAGTAATCCCTCATTGATAAATATGTGGAAAATCCAAACCAAGTTTATATGGAAGACACATGGAAAGGTGTCACGACTAGTGATGGTTGTTAAGACGTTGAGCCCCGTTTAATTTAGATTAGAGTAAATCTATTTAATGTTTCGTATTATTTATCAAATTATAATCTTTGTTAGTTGTAAGTATCTTTTAATGACATTTTTATGTTCTTAGAGGCACCTTTTTCCTTGTGTTTCTGAAATAGCACCAGGGTTTTTAATGGGCCACCTCATTTCATCATACATATGGTTAATTTATTTGTAGGAAATCAAGGAGTAAAAGGATCTTACCTAAATCTCCCTTCAGGTTATTTCATGTTGGATCCTCATGAAGGAATCCATGTCACCCCTCGAGGCGATTACATGTTTAATCCCCATGAGGGAATCCTTTCCTCTCCTTGAGACGACTACATGTTAGATCCTCGTGAAGGAACCTTTGTCTCCCCTTAAGGTGGCTACAGGTTGGATCCTCATGAAAGAATCCTTGTTTCTGCTCGATGAAACTACATACAAAATTCTAATGAATGAATCCTTGGCGCCCTTCCAAGTGATTACATGATGGATTCTTATGAAGGAATCATTTTCGCCCTCGAGGCGATTACTTGTTAGATCTTCATGAAGGAATCCCTGTCACCCCTCGAGGATATTACATATTGGATCCTCATGAAGGAATCATGTCTACCCTTTGATACGATTACGCATTGGATATTTATGAAGGAATCCTTGTCTCCTCTCGAGGCGATTATATTATCGATCCTCATGATGGAGTCTTTCCCACTCCTCAAGGCGATTAGATACATTGCATACTCATAAAGGAATATTTGTATCACCTTGTAGCAATTACAAATATGGGATCCCCATAAAGCGAACCATTGAACCCCCTTGGAGCGATGTGGGCATCTCCAAATGAAAGCCTTTGTTCCCAAAAATAAAATTTAAAGCTATAATGCAAAATATTCCACAAAGATGAATTAGGAATATATTATTCATTTAACTAAAGACTCGTGAAGGACGAAGAATTACAAAGCTGTTATAGCGAGATAAGTGTTGAGAATGTAATTCCCTTGTGTCGAAGCAATAAGTTGCTCGACAGAAGGGTGTGTCAAATTAGTCTATAAGTGTGTCGAGTTGTGTGTGTCAAAATGTCAAACCAGGTTGTTCGATGAGATTTCAACTTAGACATATTTTAGTAAGTGTTAACTGAATTAGGTATTTTGGGCTTTTGTGTCTTGGGCTTTAGCTTAGGGAGAAAGTTAACGTAAAATTATAAATAGAGGGAGTAACCCCTATTTTGTAATAACTAACTGTAGCAACTGGTTTTTAAATCAGAGTCGCCACTATTAGTTTTTATCCTAGGGAAAGGAATCTAACAGAAAACCCTAGTTCGCAGATAGAGATTCTAGGTTTCAGACTCAATAGACGAAAGGAAGGTGTTATGCACCTTTCATCCACCTTGTTCACAAGGATACTAAGCTCTAGGTTTAGGTTTGGGATAAACTGGGTTTTAAGTTTTAATTAGCAAGTAAAGTGTCCTAATTTTTAAATAGGGGAACTCGCTACGATTTTTGATTGTATGCCTACGTATCCTCTTATGAGGAATCAAAGTCCCAATTGGTAGTTCGTATGGGTTGGTGTTTTTTATAGGATCGCGTGGAATTGCTTTTGAATTTATCCTTGAACCTGGTCTGGGTTTTGAAAGGTGAGTGGTTGTAGACGTGGTTTGTAGTTTGATTCAAAAGTAATGTTATGTAATCCTTTTTCGAAAACATCTCGTTTTTTATTATATTAGTAGAAAAAATAGTTTGTAATTGATTAGCTGTTTTGGTATTTTATTTGATTAAGACGTGGGGGAAGTCTGATATAGTATTCTCCTCACGTGTTCTCATCACGTGGCCAGATATTAGCCACGTGTTATTCATCATGAAGGATATGGAGGAAGTCTGATATAGTCTTTCTCATCACGTGGTCAGATGTTGGCCACGTGTTGCTTCCGGATAAAATATTTGGAATTGCCTGGGTTCGTATATCTTTGATTTTGAATAATTAACTGATAAATGATGCATCGATCAATTGCCTATTCGAGGGCATGGTGGATGAAATATCTACCAATCTCATTATAAAAATATTGAATTAATTTGATTTGAAAAGAAGCACGATTGATATACCCGAGTTTATTTAATTGAGAGGGTTTATTAATTATATGAGTAATTTCTTTTAGTTATTATAATGATTAAAGAACTAAACTAATTAACCCAAATTAATCAAAATAATTAAAACTAAATTAATCAACTAAATTATGAGACCAAGGAGGTGTGGGTTAAAAAGGAAATATGAATCAAAATTTGCACTAGAACCCTAACTTTTAAGGCCCAATCTTCCTAACCTTAATTCTATCTAAGATAACTAATTAAATTTTAAAAAAAAGAATAAGAGAAAACAAAGAATCAGCAAAACACCTAAAAGACCACGCGACTATACCTCTCCCTTATACCACTCTCCTATTTTAAAATTACAATTCCAACCAACCGCTAAGTGACAAGTGGAATAAGATAATAAAAATAAAAACAAGTAAAGCACATATTATAATAGAGAAAAGTGTATCAAGCCATCTTCTTTCTCTTTCTTTTCACGAGACAACAACACTTTCCCTGTTTCTGTTCTCTTCCTCCCACAGTAACAAAATCCAATGAAAAAAAAATCATTCTCTCTTTAAAACATCCGTGGATTCAAAGACAACCATAATCAAATATCAAAAGTAGAAAGAAAACATTACCCACATGGATTCTCGAGGGTTTCTCGTGGTGCCGTGATCAGAGCTTGCAGAGGATGTGCACGATGGGCGTTGGCCGGAGGTGGGCTAGGCTGTGTGCGCTGGGTCGGCGTGGATCGGGATCGGAGGGTCACGGTCTGCGGCGTTTCCGGTCTGGCGGAGGTTGGGATGCGTCACGGTAGTGGGGCGGTGGTTTGGACGGCGGATCTGCGGTGGTCGAATTTGCGGCGATAGCAGCTTTGTCGGAGGGAAGTTGCAGTGATGTTTGATGTGGATTTTAGGTGTGCAGAAAATCTGGGTTGCTCTGGATTGCTCTTAACAACTTTGAGTGATGATGATGGAGAAAACAGTTTTTTTTTAAAAGGTGGTGAAGATTAAAGTTAGAAGATGATGGTATTTATAGGAAAAACTTAATGGTCATAAGCAAAAATTTAACGTGTCTTTTTATTTTATTTCAAATTAAGAGAGATTTAGTGTATAAAAAAAGGTGAAAGTTATTGTATGTTATTTGTACAGTGTGGAAGCAAAACGTGCAGATGTATATTTTATTTACATCTTTATTAACAAAAAGGTTATTGACTATTTGAGAAAGGTTTTGAAAAAATGCATGCAAGACTAGAAGTTAGAAAAGTGAGGATTTTGTGAATCAAAGTTTTGATAAAAAATAAACCATCAGGATCATCATCCTTATCTAGTTAAAATAACGAACAAGTTAAAAATGAAGATAAAAATTTCAAATCATAGAGTGCCCTTATATTTAAATCATAGGCCAATGAAAACACTAATAAAAAAAAATTGAAAATAAGACATGTGTGTAAAATCATAGAAAATCGTGGATGATTTTGTGTGTGTACAATTGTAAAATTGTGGACGAGTTGTGAATATTTCTGGATGTTTAAAGATGAAAAATTAGGAAAACAATGAGTCCTATTTATAGAGTAAAATTAGGTTAAAATTTGGAGAGAAAGCTAGCCCAAAATGAATAAAAGGCTCAAATTAAATTTTATTTATTTATAACTTATTTTGACTATTTTTTAAATAAAATAAATATTTTAATAAAAAATAATATTTTCAAAATATAATAAATAAATAAATACGAAAATAAAAATTTAATAATAAAAATATGATTTTTATGATTTAGAAAAATGAAAATAAAATGTCAATTGTGCTATGTTACTTATTCGAAAGTAAAATGCCAATTGAAAGTATATGATAACGAATAATTATTTTCTATTTTTTACAAATAATTATTATATTTTCAGACAGACTTGAAAGCAAATTTTTATTAAAAAGCTCAGAATGTTACTATAATTAAATCAAAGGAATTTTATATCTGTAACGCCCCAATTCGAAAATAAGTTTGACGGTAGCACTAAGGCGGGCAAATTTGGGGTATGACACTAACAACTTGTATTCATAGAATTTTGTAGTTGCAAAGTGAATAAGATTGTTCACAGTTTGTGGGCAGAGAAACTCTGTAGAAAATTATGATCTTCTCCTTATTTTTTTAAACCCTAATTTTCTTTCTTCTTTAATTTTACATTGTCATAATGATTGGAATTCTCCATAGATTTTGGTGGATTTCCAACATCTGGTATCTAAAGCTCTGGTTGAGTGATTTAAGGGAGAAAAAAAACATGATGGCAATGAATCATCCAAATGGGAATTTTCTAGCAAGTCTTCCCATTCTGAAAGTTGGTAACTATGAGAATTGGTGCAAGCAGGTGAAGGTTGTGTTTTGTTGTCAAGATCTTTGGGATCTTATTAAAGAAGGATTATAACCGCTTGCAGAAGAAGCAACAGATTAAGATGAGGAAGCACATAAAGAATTGAAGAAGAAGAATTATAAAGCTCTCTTTATATTTCATCAATATATAGTCCAGACGATTTCGAAAAGGTTGGTGATGTAGAATCTGCGAAAGAAGCTTGGAGAATTATGGATAAGTATTTTGGAGGTGCAGAAAAGGTGAAAGAGGCGAGGTTACTAACTCACAAAAGAACATATGAATTGCTTCAGATGGAAGAAAGTGAGAGCATAATAGGTTTCTTCATTAGGGTTAAGAAACTGGTGAATCAAATCAAAGTATATGGAGAAACATTAATAACAAGATCAGTTGTTACAAAGATCTTGAGATCTTTGGCTCTGAAGTTTGACCACGTGGTGGTAGCCATTGGAAGACTCGAAGAATTTGTCGACATTGACAAAAGAAGAGCTTTAAGGGACGCTTGAATCTCATGAACAAAGAATCGCTGAAAGAGCTATAAGCAAGTCGAAGAGTGATGTGGCTTTGCATGCACGGTAAAAAAAGTAAAGAAAGGAAAAGGAAAGTGGTTCGACAACATAAGTAGAGGAATCTACAACAATTCGAATGGTAAAGGAGACCGGCATGAAGGAATTGTGTCGAATCAAAGGTGGCGCTGGAGGTAAAGTAAGATGTGGTGGTCGAAAACCTGACAAGAGTCACATTCAATTTTTCAATTGTCAGAAGTACGACCACTATTCTAATGATTGTCTAAGAAATGAAAGAATCAAGAAAGTGATATAATTTTTTCAAATCATGAAGAAGAATATACGATGTTGATGGTCACAACAAGAGATGAAGAGAAATTTAAGGACCAATGGTACTTGGATTCATGATGCTCATCACACATTTTTGAGAGGAAATATTGGTTTGTCAACATAAAGCCCTCGATAAAGAACATGGTGAAATTCACAAATGATAATACTCTATCAGCTGAAAGCATTTGAGACGTTCTGATTATGAGGAAAGATGGCAAGAGATCAGTAATTTTCAATGTGTTGTACATACCAGGCATGAAGAGCAATTTTCTCAGTATAAGGAAGTTGGTTGAAAAGAACTATAAGGTTTCGATCGAAGACAAGGTGATGAGAGTCATTGATGCAAGAGGAAGGTTAATATTGAAGGCTCTTATGTCTCAGAATAGAACCTTTAAGATTAAACTTAATGTGATGGAGCAAAAGCGCCTTGCAACTGCAGCTAGCAGGGATGAATGGATATGGCATTATAGATTTGGCCATCTCAACTTTAAAGAAATCAGAGATTTGAAAAGAAGAAATATGGTTTCAGAGTTGCCAGAAATCGACATTCCAAACAACATGTGTGAGGAATGTGTGCAGGCGAAGAAAATCAAGAATAGATTCAGCAACGATGCAGGAAGCAAGTTGAAGGATTTTCTTGAAATTGTATACTCTGATGTATGTGGTCCTATCCAGGTGAATTCGATTGGAGGTACCATGTACTTTGTCACATTCATAGATGATTTCAGTCGAAAACTGTGGACTTACTTGATCAAGAAGAAAAGTGAAGTGATTGAGGTATTTTCCATGTTTAAATCTATGGTTGAAATACAAAGTGGCTGAAAGCTCAAGATTTTAAGGACTGATGGTGGTGAAGAATATGTGTCGAAAGACTTCGACATGTTATGTGAAAAATAAGGAATTGTGAATGAGGTGGTGCCACCCTATACTCCACAGCAGAATGAAACTGTATAAAGGAAGAATTGAACCATCATGAATATGGTGAGAAGTATGTTGAAAGGCAAGCATTTACCTAAAGAGTTTTAGGATGAAGTTGTGTCAACTACAACATACATTTTGAAGAAATGTTCGATGAATAATCTAGAAGGAATTACACCAGAAGAATGTTGGCCTGGTGTGAAGCCTAGCTTGAGTCATATGAAAGTATTTGGATCTATAACACATAGACATGTTCCAATATCGGTTGAGAAGAAAAATTGATGACAAGTCGCGTCAAATGATCCTAGTAGGATATCATTCGACTGGAGGGTACAAGTTGTTTGAACTAGTGAACAAGCAAGTAGTGATCAGTAAGGACATGATCATAAATGAGCTTAAGGAATGAGATCGGACAGAAAATGTCAACAAGGATTCAGTGAGAATCTTTTGTGAATAACTAGCCACTGAAGTTGAAAGAGAAGAAGTTCGACAGAAAGAAGTCATAGGTGATACAGGCCCAAGAAGACCTCAGAGAACAAGACACATGCATGTAAGGTTGCAAGAATGTGTGATTACATCAGATGATGCAATCGATAATGAAGGTGGGCTGGTACATTATGCTTTCTATACAGATGTTAAATCATTCAATGCAACTGAGGTATTGATGGATTCGAAGTGGATGAAAGTAATGAATGAGGAAATGGAGTTCATCAAAGTCAACAACACTTGGTCCCTTGTCGAATTGCCTCAAGGCAAGAATAAAATTGATGTCAAGTGAGTATACAAGGTGAAGTTCAATCCCAGAGGGGAAGTAACTCGACACAAGGCAAGACTTTTGACAAAAGGATTTATTTAGAAGGAATGAATCGACTTCGATGAAGTCTTTGCACCTGTTGCTAGAATCGAAATAATCAAGTTGGTTGTTGGTCTAGAAGAAATAAACAGTTGACACATATGTCATATGGATGTGAAATTTGAATTCCTAAATGGACCCTTAGACAAAGAATTTTATATTGCACAACTAGTTGAGTTTGTGAAGCATGGCAAAGAGAAAAAGGTGTACAAGATACATAAAGCCTTGTATGAACTCAAACAACCTCCAAGGGCTTGAAATAAGAAGATTGGTAGTTTCCTAAGGGAGAAGAAATTTGTGAAGTGCACAACTGAGCATGGAGTATATGTAAGAATAAGCAATAGTTAATTGCTTATACTATGTCTCTATATCAATGACTTATTCATAACAGGTAGCTGCAAGAAGGAGATCGAAGACTTCAAAGGTGATCTCAGTAAGGAATTCGAAATGTTAGAGAAGGTATAATATGTATCAAAAAAGGTATGCAAGAGAAATTCTCAAGAGATTTGTGATGAAAGAATGCAACTCGACTTCGACACCTGTTGAACCAGGATTGCAACTTTCAAAAGATTCAGATGAAGATGATGTCGACCCAACCCAGTACATAAGACTTATTTGGTCATTGAGGTACCTTTGTCACACAAGGCCTGATCTAGCATACAATGCGAGTATGGTAAGTAGATTCAAGTAGAAGCCAATGTATCACATCTAGCAGTGACGAAGAGGATACTAAGGTATCTGAAAGGAACTCTCAACTATGGAATTTTATTTCCTATAGTCGATAAAGGAAAATAATACAAGTTAGTGGGATACGTACTCAAGTTGGTGTAGTGGTGTTAAGGGTCGGAAATCCTCAACCGGTTACATGTTTATGCTAGGTGGTGCACCAGTTTCTTGGAGTTCGAGAAAAGAACCAGTAGTGGAATTGTCTTCATGTGAAGCAGAGTACATGGTTTCTTCCCTCTGTGCATGTAAATCAACATGGATGGTGAATCTAGTCTAAGAGATTACAGGGAAGAATCATGGAGCAATTACCATGAATATTGA